CGTGCATTTAACCCCATTGTGGCCATATGCATCCGCCCCTGGTGTGATATGTGGAGTTACGTGAAATGAAGCTCTTGACTCAGCAATCCATAAGCAATCATTATGATCGTGGTTATAATAATTGTACTTTTTTTTTCTTAGAATCACTTTATTTGAACTTAATTACCCCCATTTTTGATCTCTTATGAGATTTTGAGACTACGATTTATTGTGATCGAGTTGTCCCAAATAGTAACAAATAATTTTAGAACGAGATCTAGTTTGATAACCAGACTTGTTATAGCCTCCTGTCTTAGATTTTTTGTGGTTCTCATTCCTCGCACATTTCTTACATTTTCTGCAATTCTCCACTCTAATTGTGAGGCTAAACCTTGTTCAATTTGCAGTCTTTTCATTCATTAAACAGTGTTATAGCATCCTGTCTTAGATTTTTTGTGGTCTCATTAAACAATGTTTACGGCTTACCTTTTCTGTCTCACTTTCTCTTAAAGGCCTTATCAAAGTGATATATTAATAATGTGGAATACAAAGAGACATCATACATTATCTAATCAAATTCATAATAAATAAATGTAGCTAAAATATAATATGAGAATACGTTTCAAACATGTGATATACCTCTTCAAGTATATTCATCTCTCTCATTTTAATCAAAGAGTCATGCGACCAACATTAATTAAGTGTGAAGCCCAATAGCCTCACGTTAGTTTAATCAGCCACTCTTCATTTTTAACTTCCACTTTCTTGTCAATTATCAAAGTGGACACACTATGATCATAACAGCAATTAAATTATTGTAGAATGTTTCTAAAAAAAAGCAACACAAATATATTTAGGGCTTATACTGATAAGCACCACTAAAAACCAAGCATTAACTAGCCGCCAATTTTGATTGTTGCTTAACGCATAATTAAATCCGAAACTCCCTTGTTTATTAACATTGAAAGAAGAAGAGGAATTTGGACTTTTCCCTTGAATGTCTGAGCAGAACAATATAATCTTTTAACTTGTTTAAATGTCTTAGCATGGACAGTATAATTAAGGTTCTCCTCGTGGGATGTATTTTGAAGTAAACAAAAAGTTGGTTGAGCTGTTGTTACCGGTCGAGCCCTAACCCTATCGAAGCTTTAGCTTTCACAAACAAACTTCACCATGTGTTTAGGGCATATCCATGAAAAGTATCTCCCAACTAAAAGTATTTTGTTGGGTTAACCATTCTTTGCATCTATCTTCTACCCACCATTTCCACCCACTTCCCTTCTCGAAGGCTTTCATCAATTTCCTGGAAAATAATTACCCCTGCATCACCTTTTTTTTTAAAAAAAAATTAAGAAAAAGAAAGTGAAGTGACAATCATCCCATATTCAACATATTAATCAATATAATACACGTTTATCTATATTTTTTAGTCATTGAGGTGACTTATGTCTTAGTCTAAATCTCCTCTACCTTTCAGCTTATCTAATAGCGAATGTTCCCCCACCCCCACCCCCAAAATAAGCATGTAAAAATTTAATCACCAAAAATGATAAATTCATAAATATTTTTAAGGATAGAAATACATATATTATTTGTACGATACGAATATAAATTAACTTTAAAAGTAAACATAATTTGTTGAAGAAATTTGAATTTCAAGGTAGACAATTAAACACCTACAACAAGTTATGAACATGCAACTGATCATCTTGTTGACCTGCAGCTGATCATGGGTAGTTTCATTTTAATGTTACATCTCAAAAGTTCTTTTTTTTTTTTATAAATAAATCTCTTATGAATTTCATATAAAATACTAAAATTAAATTTGATACCATTTTAAAAATATTAATATTAGTTTTTTTTTTAAAAAATCGACAATCACCATTAACTGTATCTACTTAAAATTTACTTTATAAAATTTTATAAATTTTAATGATAATTTATTTTTTGGACTTCATTCTTAATCACGATGCATATTACAAAAATCATGCCCTATGACTTGGGTGATACAATAATTTTAACATGAAAAACGGATTCCTCGGTTTCATTCATTGCAAAGGGAAAAAGGACATAAAGGTATACAGTGTTGTCCTTTTAGAGTAAACTTTTGCCTACATATCTCTTGTTCTAATTATTTAGCATCGCCGCCAAGAAAACCAAACCATAAAAAAACAAAATCCAATTGATCTATCAATTTTGTGACCTAAAGCATCATGTTATTCATACTTCACATCATATTTGATAAAGGCTTGGGTCTGGTAGGAGTATGATTAAGTTGAATCGAGTGAAAAAATTAAGTTAGTCGACTTTACTATTATTATTTTATTATTTAAATTTTATTTAAAAAATTTTGAGTTAATTTTTTAGAATTCAGTCAAGTCGAATCGAATATAAAAACAAAAATGGCGATTTGCAGCTTTTTGGAAAATGGATGAGTTGATGAGAGTCGATTTGCAGCTTTTGAAAAATGGCGAGATTACGCCACCTCCACGCCTGCCAAATAACAGCAGCAAATAATATGTTCCAAGGGCAGTTATAAAAACAAAGAGAACTACACCTAAGATTCATGAGCATATATTTAAATAGTGTTCGCAGTTACGTTTTCAGTCGTGTCGTGCTTATCACGGTTACGAACATAACGGATGTCATTGTGGTTATTACGTGTGTCGCGATCATAAAATTTTTTTAAATGTCGCACAACTTATCCTAAAATGACTAAATTAAATATAATTAAAATAAAATTATAAAATTTAAAAAATTTAGATTACTGAAATTATGATTAAATTAAATAAAAATTAAAGTTTACATTTTAAATTAAGGATTAAATTATAAATTTTAAATAGAGGTCATTTGTGTCACGTATTTATCAAACCATACATTTTAATACTTATTAACATGAATTATTTTATTATCAAGTATTTAAACACTAATTATTTAAACACGACTCATGCAAACACTAGTCATTTAAATAAATTAGTATTATGAAATAAAAGAATTCATCAAAATATGTGAAGAATAAAAATACTAGTTACACTAATTTTAACAATATAAACTAAATAAAAAAATTTCTGAAAATACATATTTTGTCATATATATATTTCCGTTGAATTTAATTAAAAATAGTTTTTCTGACACAACAAGGTGTCATGTAATGCGCTTTTATCCTATGTGACATTGTGTATTATTTTTATAATTAATATATTTTAGATGTCATCTATTAATTTAAATAAGTAAAATAATGATATTATATAAGTAGAACTCCCCATATTAATGTTCTCCTTTAATAGAAGCTTTCATCATAATGGCTGAAGTATAGCCAATCCCGCTACTTCTGGGGGAGATCTCAGTTGTACTAATCTACCAATCAAATGCTCAAACATAACCTTAATAATTGCCAATTAACTCAACTCAACGACTAATGCCCACAAATGGCTAAAAGAGAAAGCACAAAAGTGAAAAAGAACTAGCTATAATTTTAAGATATAATATATACTTTTTTTTTATCAATGTACTTAGAGTATACTCTCTTTTTTATTTCAATATCTAAAGTATTTTTTTTTTTGCCAAAATGAGTACCTAAATTTATCTTTTCGGTCAAAATATGTACTTAAAGTATTCAAATTTTTTTCATCTAAGTTCTAAAAAAGAGTTAACATGTGACATTTATTAAAGAATACTTTATGTACTTAGATGATAAAATTGAATACTTTAGGTACATGTTTTGATAAAAAAAATATAAGTTTAGATATTTATTTTGACCAAAAAATACTTTAAGTACTTAAATGAAAAAGGTGATATACTTTAGGTACTTATTTGTGATATAAGCCTAATTTTAACATGAAGCATAAAATAAAACCCTTTTGTAAAGATATTGCTTGTTGTCATTTTGAAGTTACCATTTGTCTAGAGATATATATAAATAATTTTTTGATATCTATTAATTTTTTTTATAAACCGTTTTAATTAACAAATGACAAAGTTAACTTTAGCTGCAGCATATCGAATAATAATTCTTTATATGTTATTTGACAATAATTCTTCATTTATTTAAAGGAAAATGATGAAAATAGGTAGCAGCTAGCTTTATTTGGAGTTGCTAATGTCATGTGCTTGACTTGATAGAGGGGTTGGAAATGTAGCAGCATTGTGGTTGAGATCGGGTGTACTTTACCCCAATACGGTTGGGCCAACCAACCTCATGCTCCATTGAATATATGTCATCACCATATCAACTAGCTTAGCTTCCAAATGTGTCTTTCTTTGATAGATAACTACTTTTGTTTCCTACACAAGAAATCTATCTCTTGCTCAAATTTGTAAACGGTCCCTATAATATCCCCTTTCGGCTTATTTAGTCCCTCTACTGTAGTATCATCATTTCAGCCCCTCTACTCTTTGGTCAAATAACTAGACACCACTTATCATTTAAAACATGCGATGGTGTGGCATGTACATTTTTTATATAATCGGATAATTATCGTAATCTTTTTAGTTTTTTAATAGTCTGAGATGATTATAAGATATTATTTATTCAGAATCTTTCTTGATCGTTGGCAATTACACACCCTGCAAACACATATGCTTGGACCTTACACTTTTTAAATGTGGAAACAATTTATCTAATTGTAAAGATATGCCAAGGTATATAGGTCATATTATTATTTGTTTTAAAAATACAATTCATGTGAAATTATTTGACTGAAATAATGAAAAACAATTGAGCTCTATACTAAAAATACACATTTCAAAAAAAAAAAAAGATTAGAAATGATTAAGTTACGGTAGAGGTACTAAATCAACCATAACCACATAGTACAAGGGCGTTCTACAGAATTTGACCTTCTCCTCTATTTCTGTAATTCCTCCTTTGACTTTGCCCCCATCCCCCTTCCCTATGAAGAATTCTTACGTTCCACCAAACTAAGCAAAAACGACTTGGCAGCAGATGCCAAACACAGTTTCTTTTTTGCCTCTTTATAAATTAGTTTTGGTCTTCACAAACCTGATCAGTACAACAAGAAACAGCCAAACCAAATTCTAGGAGGGGAAAAAACCCATTCATTTGGGGTTGGCATTGAGCGATAGAGCTAGAGGCAATTGATGGAGATGAAGCCATGGATTCCAGTCCTGATGCTTTTAGCTTGCTTATGGTTTCCAGCTTCAGTGGAGTGCATGGTTCGCCACTACAAGTTCAATGTAAGTTATATTTTGCTCAAATGGTTATCGGGTGTGATCACACCCCTAAATTTATAATATAAATTTCTTAGTTTATGATATTGACATAAAATTTTGTGTTTGTCTCTTGTGATATACAATGACGGATCTAAAAGTATTTTTTAGGGATAAGTTAATAATATAAAACTTTTAAATATGATGGATACAAATAAAATTTTAGGGTGGACACTGTTCGTAAAATAAGTAACTAATTAAAGAAAACTCATATTTCAGAGTGGACACTAAAAATTTTATGATGTACACCATCAGTAAAATAAGTAACTAATCGAAGAAAATTCGGATTTCAAGATGGACACGTGTCTACCTTCACCAAGTTGTGGATCCGCCACCGGTGATATATATATATATAAACAAATTGGTTAACCAAAAGTTTCAACTTTCTTATTGCAAGAAGAAATGGGAAAAAATAGTTTTACTTGTTCAAGTATATATGTGTATGTATATATACATTGAGAAGTAAATTGGCAGATATATTTTAAATTCTTCACTCATTTTCAGTTGTTATCCTACGTTCATTGCATGTTCATGCACGTAATGTTTTGCAATGGTCATTTTATTTTTGGCTTTTTTTTTATATGACGGGCTTGACTTGCTAATCGTAAATTTTCAAACTACATTTTGTGTACTTAATTGCTGAGATGACCGACACACCAATCATATATGTGATCTTGTTGCAGACGACTTTGATTTTCACACAGAAAAGCTACCAATAAAAGCATTTATGTTTCATCGATGGACCAAATTAAATTGCTCTAAATTTGGGGACTAATTAATAACCGTATAAAACAATGGAAATGTTTTGCAGGTGGTTCTGAAAAATACAACAAGAATGTGCTCAACCAAGCCTATTGTCACAGTGAACGGACTCTACCCTGGACCCACTTTAGTTGCTAGAGAGGACGACACAATTCTTATCAAGGTGGTGAACCATGTCAAATACAACGTCTCCATCCACTGGTGAGACTCCAGATTATTACCAAAATATTTTACTGCGAAACGAGAGATTATTACTGACGTTTTTTTATGTACGTGACTTTTTTTTTGAAGGCATGGGATTAGGCAAATACGCACGGGTTGGGCAGATGGACCGGCGTATATAACCCAATGTCCGATTCAACCAGGGCAGAGCTACGTGTACAACTTCACCATCACCGGCCAACGGGGCACCCTTTGGTGGCACGCGCATATACTGTGGCTAAGGGCAACCGTGCATGGTGCTATAGTTATATTGCCTAAACGCGATGTGCCTTATCCTTTCCCCAAACCCCACAAGGAAGAAATTGTTATACTGGGTGAATGGTGGAAATCGGATGTTGAAGCCGTCATTAATGAAGCTTTGAAATCTGGGTTGGCCCCTAATGTCTCCGATGCTCACACCATCAATGGCCACCCGGGACCTGTCTCCGGCTGCCCTTCGAATGGTACCTAAAACACCTTGGATATATTAACAATGCATACACATCCTTAAAATGCAGCTGCTCGAACTCGAATCCTCTAAAAAAGAAAACAACATTCTAATTTACTACTATTTAACATCATTAGATATTTCAATTAAAATGTTGACATTTAATTTTTTTTTAATCTATCTTAGGATATACGTTGCCGGTTAAAGCAGGGATGACATACATGCTTCGAATCATCAATTCTGCACTTAATGAAGAACTGTTCTTTAAAATCGCCGGCCACCAACTCACTGTTGTGGAAGTTGATGCCACGTACGTGAAGCCCTTCAAAACCGACACCATTGTTATAACCCCGGGACAGACGACGAATGTCCTCGTCGCAACCAACCGCGGAGGCGGAAAGTACATGGTGGCAGCCTCAACTTTCATGGACGCGCCGATTGCGATCGACAATGTGACCGCCACCGCCTTCTTACATTACTCCGGCTCCGGCTCTCTAACAAGTTCTGCCGCCACCGTCACATCAACCCCTCCAAAAAACGCCACCTCGGTGGCAACCAAATTTATCAGCGCGCTACGAAGTTTGAATTCCAAACAATACCCTGCTAAAGTCCCTTTAAAGATCGATCATTCCCTTCTTTTCACCGTCGGTCTTGGCGTCAACCCTTGTCCTACATGCGTTAATGGGAGCCGTGTCGTGGCTTCCATCAACAATGTCACCTTCGTTATGCCGAAAATCTCTCTACTCCAAGCCCATTTCTTCAACATAAGTGGAGTTTTCACCAGCGATTTCCCCGGAAATCCGCCGGTTCCGTTTAACTTCACCAGCACGCAAGTAACGAATTTCGCCACCAAAAAAGGAACAAGGCTGTATAGACTTGCGTACAACGACACCGTTCAGCTAGTCTTGCAAGATACTGGGATGATTACCCCAGAGAATCACCCTGTTCATTTGCATGGATTCAACTTCTTTGAAGTTGGGAGGGGATTGGGAAATTTCAACCCCCAAACGGACCCTAAAAACTTCAATCTTGTTGACCCTGTTGAGAGGAACACCATTGGAGTGCCATCTGGTGGATGGACTGCTATAAGGTTCAGGGCAGATAATCCAGGTAAGGCCACCATCAATTAATTCGACCCGAAGTGTTCAGAACTCAAAATGATTCAAATCCGAGATGACTGATTGATAATTGCTTGGTTTATTTGTGTTGTTATGTAGGGGTTTGGTTCATGCATTGTCATTTGGAAGTGCATACGACATGGGGGCTTAAAATGGCTTTTGTTGTGGACAATGGAAAAGGACCCAATGAATCACTTCTGCCACCTCCAAGTGATTTCCCCAAGTGCTGAAACTGAAAATCAAAATGAAATACATGAAAAAGATACAAAAAGAAATGGAGATTTTATACGACTGAAAGCTAAATGACTAAAGAAGAAGAGTTCATTTGGAGCAACCAATGAATGTGCTCTATATTCAATAAAAGTTGGCTGAATTTGTTTTGTTTTTTTTGTTATTATTGTTCTCTTAAATTTGGTTTTTTGTAATATATGGCCTACAAATTTGAGCTGTAAAGCTCTGAATGTGTTTCTATTGTAGAGGTCCCAAATCTTCATTGTAGTCACAATTACTCTGTTTGAAATGAAAATAAAGTATTGTGTTCTTTACCATCTGTTTCTGTTAACCATTTTCTTTTTAGTATTGTGTAAAAGTTAGCCTCCAATGTTTGTTTGAATAATATTTTTCATCTTTATTTCTTTTTGAGAAATGACCATCCAGCTCAGTTGGTAGAGCACAAGGTTCTTAACCTTGAGGTCGTAGGATCGAGTCCCACGGAGGACATTTCATAATTCGGAGGTCTTTTACGGAAGCTGCCCCCAACCTGGTGTTGGGAGCCAGCCTACTATCTTACCTCCCCTCATCCCATACATATGGGAAAAAAGGGACAACCATTAACCATCTTTATTTCTTTTTGGATCTCTTAAGCCCTCAACGTTTTAATTTTTAATCAAAATAACTTATGTTGGATGAAAACTATCAATACATTGTTGACGTGACATATATTAAATTAATTATACATCATATGTCATGTCATTTAAAACGATGATGTGATATGTACCACATCATTCTAGATAATGATATAGCTTGTGTCATGTCTCATAAGATGATAATGTGATATGTGTTATATCACTTAAGATGATGACGTGACATATACCACATCACTCAAGATAATAATATAACATGTGTCATATTAACAATTAATCATATGTAAAAATATTACATCAACACCATAAATATAAATACGAAATATCAATTATCTCTTTATTATTCATCATATCTAATTGCAAGGGCATTACTGCAAGATCATGCAGCTCTTTAATTTGATTATTCGTTTGCATTCCAAAATACCGGCAAATGGTATATAGACCAATCCAACATCAATTATCTTCGAATTATCAGGTATACATGCTTATTGAGTTTATAACAATTCGTTTCAAAGTCGATGTGATTGCATGGATGTACTAATGGCCAACTTCGATGAAAAATGCAATGGGTGTCTCAACGGGTAAGAGTATTTATTCTTCAACTTTTTAAGTATAGGGGCCAAATATCAAATATCATTTAAGTACAGGGACTGAGCATAATTGGACACAAAAAGCACTTTGCACCTTTATTCCTATTTGGATTAACCACAATATCAAACCTTACAATGTTTTCTTGCCATAATTAACCATGCTCACGAATCGTTTATACATAATTAAGCTTTGTTTTACCCTAATGTTAACGAATTGTAATAACTTACATCAGATGGTAATCGTAAAAAATAAACCATATTGTTACCTACATTAACTAGTCATCAATATATACAAAAAGATCATCAAAATTCACAGTTCAAGGAGAAAATGGAAGACCTACAAGAACATAGGACTAAAATATATAATTTTCTTTTTTTTTGGATAACTTTGTATTTATTATCCAAGAAGCAGTTAAACTGCTACAAAAAGTACAACTTCAGCAAAAAATAACTAATTTTCAAGCTCTCCAGTCAAGATAAAATATAGGGCCATTTTAATTTGACTATTTAGCGTTTCTATCTTATGTATCCTATTCCTAGTATATGGATCAAATGGAGATGTTCAATGTTTACCGTAGATGATTGATGGATTGCTTCAAAGATAAAAGTCTTAAGCTTATGGTGAAAAGTTGCTCGGCATAGCCGGTTCGTCTCCCCTGACAGTTTCTATATGTGCTGATATTGTGTGAACTGCCTTATTCTGCCACTGCATTGCTATCCTTTTCATTAGTTTTGGTCAAATGGATGTACCATGCGTAATGTTATCAACAATTGGGATGTTATCAATGGAATTGAGATTACCTTCCATGGATTGTGATGCATCCTCCATACCTTCTTGAAGAGTCATATTTTGTATCTCTTGACCATTTTTAATGTTGTTCGAGCTGTTCGTTTCTCCTGCTGAAGTTGATAGGCTGGAATTGGCTTCAGCTTCAGCTAATCTTTTGGATTTGTGTTCAGTATCTTCAACAGATCCTTCACTAGTTTCCCCAGTGATGTTCGATGGTTCAATGAAAGACTCTAGTCTACCTAATATTCGGAGTGCACCTTCACGTTCGAGAACATCTTCCTTGATCTCTTTGTTGGTTACATTATCAGCTACTGACTCGTTAGCCTTGCAAATACGATCAACTTCAGCTGCAGAATTCTGAGAAAGGTTCTAACTCAATGTCAGTAAAGGATGGATCCGTAACATAACTTGCTGGCAGTTGTGCGCGGCTAAATAACATGTTTGAAACTAATATAAATGAGGCCAGTATGAAAATTTTCAAAACAGCAAAAGGAAGCAGATGTGAGAAATTCAATAACCAACATAATTAGAAGATATGTTATCCAAACTCTTCATTTCACGTCATATTCAAACATGGATACAGGGGAACATACATAAGCATATACTTGTATCTGATATTTAGTTCCGAGTCTGATTATTATTGATTAAGCATTAAAGAAACAGATCTTCAGTGAAGGAACAAACAGGATAACATCTTATTTTCTTTTGTTTATTTTTTCTCAAAAATGCATTACCTGTCTTTCTATCGCTGTTTCAACAATGCTTGTATAATCATTTTCAATTGCTTCTGGTTTTTTGACATCAGCTTCCATTTCATTTAATCTTTCAAATCCCTCAATGCCCTCCTGTCTGATTGAGAATCGAGATCCGCCTTTATTAGCCGTAAACTTCTCCCCCTCTTTATCAATGACTTCTAAATCACTGATAGTTGTGAAAATGTTGCCTTCTTTTATGATCTTCCTTAGATAATTTGTCAGTTCCTGTACAATTTAACAAGCAATGCGATTAGTACTTCACCAGTTTACAGCATAACTAATCGGTTAAAAAAATTCATTTGTTAAAAAAAAGGGATATGGTAGGGATATTTCATGAATCAGAAACATAGACGATTAACTATATAAGTCAATGCCCTATGTTTAAAATTACTGCTAAACCAAAAAGTGAAAAGATTCTGTTTTGTTGTTGTAATTCAGTGCCAACTGAGGTAAACAACAAGTATGAGGATATTTTGACAAAATTAAGCATTGAGATTGCCTCTTCTCTTACCATAGTTTCAGTATCATCTGATTTAGCATTATCCTTTTCTGATTCTGATGGATCAATTCGAGTGTCATGTTTAATCATTTTGGCAGCCTTAACTTCAGATTCCATTAGTTTTGATACTTTGACGGAAATGTCATGGTCAATAGATACACCCTTTGTAATGCTATCAACTCTTAGGACGCTTTCAATGACCTTGAGATCATCCTCCCCAGATTCTGATGTATCCATGAAACCTTCTTGACCGGTCAAATTTTGCATCTTTGCATCATTATTAATGTTATTTAAGCTATTAGTTTCTCCTGCTGAAGTTGATTGGCCTGCATTGGCTTCAGCTTTGGCTAATCTTTTGGATTCTTGCTCAATATCTTCAACAGATCCTGCACTAGTTTCTTCGGTGGTATTTGATGTTTCAATGACAGCCTCTAGTTTACCTAATATTTGGAGTGCACCTTCACGTTCAAGAACTTCATTCTTTATCTCTTTGTTGGTTACATTATCAACTACGGGCTCATTAGCCTTGCAAATACGATCAACTTTAGCTGCAGAATTCTGTGGAAGGTTCCAGCTCAAAGTCAGAAAAGGATGGATCAGTAAAATACTTGTTGAACATTGACTTCAGCTCAATAACATGTTTGAGACTATTGTAAATGCAGTAGCTAGGGGAATTTCTAAGCATCTAGGACAACAGAAGGAAGCATATATGCTAGAAATTAATTTTTACACAATATATAATTAGAATCTATGCTACCCGAGATTTTCATTTTTTTTTCTAAGGTACCTGTATTTGATGCCTGACTTATAGTCAGATATGAGCATAGGAGCATTAACCTCCAAATTTATGCAAAACATTTGAGCATGCATACTTGTATTTGTCACTCACTTTTAAGCATACATGTTATTAAGAAAGCAACTCTTCAACAAATTAGCCAATAGGAGAATTTCTATTTCTCATTCTTTGTTTGGTCTTTCAGAGGGAAAAAGATTCAATAGTTCGCAGCTATTTGGTATTTTTAAATTGGTATTCTTCTTTCTTGTGTTTTGTCTTCTAAGAACCCTAGATTAAGTAAAAATATGAATGTTTCACTTTATACTAATGTATTACCTCTCGTTCTTTTGCACTTTCAACAATGCTTGTATATTCAATTGTTTCTGTTTCGTTCATATCAGCTTCTTGTTCATTTGATTTTTCAGGTTCGCTGATGTCTTTTGGTTTGACTAAGAGTATGGATTCACTTTCTTTTTCACTTCCAACGATTCTAGTATAGTCACTTTCAATTGTTTCTGTTTCGTTCATATCAACTTCTTGTTCATTTGATTTTTCAGAGCCGCTGATATCTTCCGGTCTGATTAAGAATAGGGATTCACCTTCATTAGCTGTCAACTCCCCCCCTTTTTCCTTCCCAATGCCTTCTGAATTATTGATATTTATGACAGTGTTGCTTTCCTCGATGATGTTCCATGGACCCATCTACAGTTTAACAAGGAATGCAGTTATTACTTCATCAGTTTACAGCCTAGATAGTTGATGTGAAATTTTCATTTGTAACAAAAATACGCTGCAAGGACATTTCATGAATGAGAAATATAAATTAGAAACAATAAGTCAATAATTTAGAAACATAAATTACTACCAAATGAGGAAAAAAAAAGGTATCATATTGTTGTAATTCAGTGCCAACAGAGTAAAGCAAGTATGCAGGTCTCTTTCCAAAATTTAAGGACTGGAATTTCTCCTGTTACCATTACTTTAGGATAATCTGATTTCGATGGCTCGATTCTAATGTCATAGTAAATTTTCTCTAATCTTCCTTCGAGATTCTCAGTAGAACTAAGATTACTTTCCCTGGATGTTTAGGCAGGTCTTTAGCATCTAAGATTAAGTAAATCTGCTAGTCAAAACATGCTGGAAGAAGTGCTTATGATTATCACACAAACCCGGGCCCAAGGGGTGACAATGCACAAAAGAAAATTGCAAAGGTACTCAGAAAGTGAAGCAACATGTTTTCCATTCCAATGAACTTGTTTCTATACTTGAATTCATGTGCCTTAAACATTAAATATGATTTCAAGATTCATTATATGCATTAAAAGACGAAGATGAAATGTTGACACTTTCATACTGACCTCCAATGTTCCAAGACTGCGATTACGGGTTAACTGATTCATTGAATTCTCAACCAATTCATGAGCAACGCAGGGCATGTTGGCCGTTAAGTTTTCATGTGCTTGTTCATAAGCCAAATTGCTTCTTACTCTATCTTCCCTAACATAATGTGACAGACTTCGTTGCATTTGTCGCCCACCTCCTGATATGGGAACTGGGCTTGCTAGGATATTCTTTTGTAATACAGACCTTGGAGATGAAGATGAGCTAACGGAAACTTTTTCAAGCATCAATCTTCGATTTAGAGCCCTTGCAATAGAATCACGTAATCTTCGTTCCAGTATATTGTTCTCTGCAGCATCTTGATCAACTTTAGTATCTGGAACAGATTTTAAGTTGCCTCTGCTGCGAACTGTACTGGGTGTATCTCTAGTGTTATGCTCAGTCAAGGTTCGAGTATCTTCTTCAATATACTTTGAAGGTTGGCTTTCCTCTACTTCCTTTCCAGATTCTTTGGTACTTGTAGCCTCATACGATGTTTCTAGATTGCCATGCCTACATTTGCCAGAACATTGATGAGCTTCACAGTTTATGTATGTTGGATGGGATGCACCATTCTCGGTTATATCTATTCCCGAAGATGGTGAACTTGTGCCATTCAAACTTTTCTTGGCTTCATGGTCTGATGGAGAGATTGAAGCAACTTCAACAGATTCCTCTTCAATAATGTCATTTAATTCTCCCAGTCTTTCTCGATTCACCTCTTCTTTTGATAGGTTAAATCGACCTCCCCACGGTTCTTCATTTTCGGAATTGATATCCCTGTCAACATCTTCATCATACATAACTGAATCACCATCACCGGATGAAACTGTTCCATCAGTTGTTAAAGGAGGTGAACCAACTTCTGAGACTTCAACTTGCAAATCAGAAGCTATGGAAAAGGTTGGGGTATGGCACTGTCGCCTAATGTAAAATGAATTAAAGTCTTTCTTGCGCCTTTCAGATGGCGACGGGCTGGAATCAAAGGAAAGTCTGTTCATAGCTCTTCCCTTGGGAGGAATTGCAAGTTTAAGAGTCCTTTGCACATGATCATTACGTATCCTGGAAGTTTTAATTGTTTGATCCAAGACCGGTTCTGTGTTTTCGGATGAAGATGAGTAGCAAGAATCATTGTTTCTAATTGAATCTGTCTCCATTCTGACTTCACTTCCACTATCTAATCCTGGCTCCAGCTCATGAGGCTTCTCTATCTTCTCTTCTATTTCAGTTCTATTGTTTAGGCTTTCTATAATCTGTTCCTTTCTCTCTTTGGATAAGTTTATTGCCTCATTGTGATTTCGTTCTTCTTGCTCAACAATAGCAATGTCATTTTCTACACCAGAGGAACTAAGCCGGTGGTGACCTACTTTATCGGATAAAAAGGCAAAGTGTTAAATTATTCCATTATATAACAGAAGACTTAAGAAAATAATAGTAAAATAAGGATAATAAAACTTCTTTATTAAATTTGGAGTAATTCCATTGATTAAATGACTACATACTGAAAGACATTATTGTTTCAAAGGCTATAGAGTTCAACTGGAAGACCAAATTATCGTCTTGAATATGTTTATTCCCCTTATGTCCAGTCTTAAAAGTTTTTCTTATGTATTTTTTTTCTTACACACTATAGGTAGGGCATTGAGGAAATTCTTTCTTCCATTTACAAATGGTTTCCACAGAGTAACGGATTAAATAGGTTGATTATGTACCTCAAAGCTTTGAAACAATCTTTCATAAGAAACTATGAATAGAAAAGCATTTCTACAGTCTAAGTTAACAGGAAAATATAAAACAAGGATCTCTTGAGCTTACCTGACTTTCCTTCAACAAGCCTTTTCTCATCACTATAATACAGGTTAAACTCGGCATCATTTGGATTTTGAGTGGTTGGATATGGAAACCAAGGTCCGCGATGGAAGCTTTCGTGCCTGCAGAAGAACATTTCCTTTTGGTTGGCAGTCATGAATTCTTGTTGAAAAGTATCTGCCGTAAGGTTTGGTTTTTCTTCTTGTGGATCATACCGTAGGTCAAATGAATTCCGTTTAGGCAAAAATACGGGAGGGGCCGAACCAGGCATTGGCGATTCATCTTCATCGAGATTACTCGAAACCCCACTATTGTTGTGTTTATCAATTCGAATAGCAGCAAGTTGAGCAGGAGGAGCATTATGGATGCCCATCAAGCTTTTCTCAATTGCCATTCTAAACAACCTTTTTGTTCTACGTTTGGTAATTAAATTTTGCAGTCTTTTTTCTCGTTCAAACTCAGTTAACCCAAGATCCATATAATTCTTCTGATCACCCTGCTTAGCCCTATTACTTGCTTCACAAGCTTCTTCCGGTTTTTTTACCACTAGCTTACCATCAACCCCACCATCTCCGGGACCTGTTCCTAATGACCCTTGAAAAGTATCACCCCACGCGCTACGAGGTTTCGATGTCTTGTTAACAAAGACCGTATACGGATCACCGAGTGCTCGATCAGTACCAATTCCATCATAGTGGGAACAGTCTCCATGTTCCACGCTAGAAATTCCTAGCCTATCGAATATAAGCTCTGAATCTTCTTCCAAGAAATCAGTTTTACTAGAAAACACGTCTTTTTCCTCTCTATTTTTTCCATCCCATTCTACGACCTCCTTTCGAGCATTTCGTCGAACACTTTTCTGGTGTCGTAAAAAAGGATTGTTTGATTTATTTACAAGCTTCCCATTTGCAGATAATCTTTCACCACTGCCTTCTTTCTTTAACTTCTGGGATTCAGGATATTTGGTTTTCAAATAAAAGCGGATATAAATGATAGAGAAGACAATTATAGGGGAAGAGTAAATATAATATAAGAAAACGTGAGGGAAAAATATGTACAAAAAAAGAACAGATATAAAAAAACCCAGAAAAGTCTGGAAATTTTCTAACAAATCTATAGGAACAACTTCCAGAAAATCTAATAATTCTCCAGAGAAAAAGTTGAACGCCCTTTGCATCAATACTCATTTTCTAAAAAAAAAAACTTTTTAATTAATCTTCAGAAAACAAAACAATAAAAACAACCAAATTGGGTGTTAATAATCCATTATACCGACTGAAGGAAATGACTGAAGAATTCAACTTCATACATAATGAAAATCAAATTCTTTTGTAGAAAAAAGAAAACAGAAACGTGTAAAAGAGAGGTCAGGGAATGGTTTTGGATATGGGGTTTACAATTGCTTTTAGAAAATTTCTTTTTGGTGGATAGAGATCTCAGATCCTTCAATTTCTCAGCCATTTCTTCTTCTCACTTGTTTCCCTTGATTCATGGGACGATAAGACAAAATAGAAAACAGGTAAAAGAAGAAGTGACAGTTAATATTATTGCACGTCTATTTTAGTCATAAGACCCTTCAATTTCTACCCACAACAAGCATGTATTATTACCATAGTTCCAAAACTCGGAGCAATGGTTAAATTAAATCCTGGACTTCGTTATCTTATATGTTTTCACATTTTTATTAATATAAAATTAATAAAATTCAAATAAATATATTTGTACACCGATTAAATCTTAGCTCGATTGATATTATTATTGTTATAATATCCAAATAATGACTTCTAACATGCTTGTATTATCCAAATAATATGACTTCTAACATGCTTGTATTATCCATCCTTTTGAAGAGCTTAGGATATGTAGAATAAAAAAAAACATTGTACGTACATCACTATATAATTGCAAATAATAAATCTTAATAAATAAATAAATAAATATTTTAGGATTAAGATATAATTAACAAATGTATTTAGAATAGGACTCTGCTTTTGTCATGCACGATGCTTTATACGTGCACCACTATAAAGCATGACAAGTTTCGTTTCTTCTTTTATTCTCCTCCTCTTTCAATTCTTAGACATCCTAGTGTCAATGGATCGTTGACGAGGGAGGACGACGTGTGAAGCTTACATGTATGAACTGGTCGTCTCACTCAGAACACATGCTTGCCGAAGGATTCAGTAAATAGCCTATGGATACATCACCAAACGGATTGTATCAATAGGGTTCAACTGCGTTAGGTATATCAAGTCTTTCTGGTCACCAATGCCTCGTTGGCATCCCTCACCGTTAAATAATCGTTTCAACGACTCCGTTTTGTTGAATTCATCATCGGGATCCAAGCCAACAACCCTTCGATCATCGATGTTCCCCTCATCAGGCCCGTTTCTGAAATTTTAGCGGCCTTGTAACATCTTCTATACCGGGTTAGTGATTAAATTGTAAAATTTCAGAATTTTGTGATAAAAGTAGAATAGTTGAATAGATCAATGATTTATTTCAAAATATTTCTTGAAAGTTGTTAGTAATTATCAAATGAATTAAAGCGCAAAATGGTCATTTGACAAGAAAGATATTTCCCCCTTTTATATGAATGATTCACGTGGGGTGGGGGGAATTATCTACAAACTCTTCTCCCTTCTTCTTCTTCTTCTTCTTCTTCTTTTTCCTCCTCCCGTATTTCCAAGCTCAAAGGTAAGTTTTCTAATTAATTGATTATTTGTTGATTTAAGGTTTGAGTTTTGATCATTAGATGATAAATAAGCTTAAGGAAAGCATAAGTTATCTTAAAATCAAAAGATAAAGGAGTTAGAGAAGATTAAAGATCTTGAGTTCTTGAATGAAATCTTGGAATAGAGTTCATAATTAGAAGTGGAAGTCAAATTTGACTTTTCATAAGTGGAATTAAGAGATATGAAGTGATAGAATTGAAATTAGAATATATTGAAAATTTGGGTATGGATTCTTGATTCTATATGGAGAAAGGAATTGTGTGGTTAAAGATGGTTTATATGGATATAATTTGGTTTATGTAATGGTATTTTGGTTTAATAACATGATAGGGGTTTAAAATAGAAGAATTTAGTGAAGAGTTGATGATTTCCGGGTTTGAATAGTGAATTTTCGTGCATGAATAGTGATTTCTGAGCAAAATTTATAGATTTCTATAAGGGTGTCGATACCCTAGGGGGAGGTATCGATACCCCTAAAGGAAAAATGGAATTTTGGGTTCATTAAACTAGCTTAAGTTATTAACATCAAGTTATAAGGTTTAGGCTTCTGATAATCATCTCGGAAATTATATTTATGTAGATACAGAGCCTAAACGAATTCCGGAACAATCGCAGGATTAGGATTTATTCAAAGCAAGCAAGGCTAAGGTGAGTGCAAATTAATTGTACTTATGTTATTGAACATACATTGGCTTGCGATGAGCCAGTGATAGAGTTACTATGGTAAGAAGTGACTCCTAAAATGTTATATAATTAATGGAATTCTTATATGTGCATGAGTACATGAAAATAGGTATATGTTATTATATGTGATCATAAGAGCAATAAAATGAATACATGCATATGTCCATAGAGTAAGTGCATTTATACATGTGATTTATGTGAATACATGTATGTGTGAATATGTTTGGTATGATTACATGATCATAAGATATAAATCATGTGATAAGTGATATCTGACTATATGAAATTCTAAGACAAGTGATTAAGTGTTTAAGAGATATAAGCAATGAGATAGGTGGCATGTGAATCACATGGAAATGATTTATGTATAAGTTTATATGTTATTCTATGTGCTATGTGATGTATTTATGAATATATGGGAATAAGACATGACATATGCGCTTACATAAAAACATGAGAAATGATATATGTTATATTATACGATCTATGTGATTACATGCACATGTGATATATGTTACATGATGTGAACCTATGTGATATGAAACCCCCCAGACCGATGCGTATAACCAGATCTGATCCGGGGTGTCACATTTGGGCCACCGGAGCGACCCACTGTAAAAATAGCGGAAATTTAAAACTTTTTATCAGAACATGTAACTTATAAAATCAGTTGTCACAATTTAAAAATAAAACAGATTTTCGAACTCGTATATAAAACAAAATACAATTACATGCCCCCTAATCACATGTACCGTACTTTGCAAACAACGCCGGAAGAACTCCCTTACTGATGTCGATAGCTGCACTTGTACAATTCTTTTAACCTGCAATGTTAAGTAATAGAGTGAGCTTCGGAAAGCTCAGTAATACAGAACTACCAGATGATGCTGAAGAACGTACAGATACATATAAATATATGTTTTCTTATTGTTTCCAAACATCTACTGATTTCTTTGGCTGATCGGAGATCCTACTGATATTTCAATTCTTATGGTAACGGAAAATGAGCTTTCAGTTTAGATAAATATTTCGAATTACTGAGTTCAGGAGATCAGAATAGGTTATCTAGTGTGTTCCCTCAAAACCAATGGAAAGATACCGATCTTTTTAAAACAATAGCAGTTTAAAACATATTTACCCTGTGCACAAAGCAGAGGAACATGCAAAAACGATAAGGTCTTATCCTTGCACATAGCAAAAGAGCCTGGGGAAACTGTAAGGCTTACCATTGCACACAACAAAGGGACCTGGGGAAACTGTAAGGCTTACCATTGCACACAGTAAAGGGACCTGGGGAAACTGTAAGGCTTACCCTTGCACACAGCAAAGGGACCTGTGAAACTGTAAGGCTTACACTTGCACACAGCAAAAGAACCTGCTGTAACGGTAATTAATCCATTAAAATATGAAAATGTTTCATATTTAGAAATCATGTACAAAAATACCGTAACCATAAACCATATCAAAATATGTGGTAAATCAGATATCAAAATAAACTATATTCAGAACATCGGGTATTGTCTCATAAAAATATTCAGTATGTGATTTATCAATATCATATTTTCCAATGAAAATAGGAAACCCAATAACACATTTCAAGTAAACATAGTTCATAAAACCAGTAGATTCCATGATGTCATAAATCATGAATAATTCATATTTTTCGGTAAAACCCGTAATTGGAAAACAGATAACATGTTGCCATGGTTCATAAACCAGTAAATCAATAATTTCGATGAAATACATTTTAAAACATATAAAATCGTCATGTGGTACATGTGGAACACATTAGGATATCCAAGTATTTCTCAGATACACTTAGTAGTTATCAGAATGGATAACATGAAACTGATGTAATTTGATTAGATTCCAAAAATGAGGTCCTATTGAAGGGAATCAATTGCTAACCAATCTAATCCGTTATTTAAGGTTGATACTTTAGAATTTCGCTATGATTCATATGCATCAGGAAAGTGTTCAGAAACCTTTATACAAAATATGTCGTTTGATTTGATTATCGAACAACTCTTAGATGAATAGTTCCTAGAACTAATGCTTGTCGATTGGTCAATTTATTGTTCTTCCAGGATATTTACTCTTTAATACCATAAATTCTTGTCTATAGATCATATTCAGAATCATTGTTGAATAGATCTTCCAGTGTCTTTATTTCATTTTCATGCTTCCACAATATCATGAAATGCTGACATGCTTGATTTGTAGTTCATGACCCAGAAGTACAATACATCATATAAGTTCATTAGTATTCCCAGACTCATCCAAATCAATTATTTAAATCCTCAGTCCTTGAGATTACTTAGCTCATTTAGCATTCAAGTCCATTCCAGTTACTTTGGGATTTTTCAGAGTAATACAGACGTTTCTGAATATCATATACATATTGTACTTCTGTTCAATTTAATTTGGTCTTCGTGGTTGATTTGTCTAACGAATATCCATTTCTTATTACCGAATGCGACCTAGAGTTGAATTGAGCTGAGTACTTTCAAAATTATCATCGAACCACACTTGAGAAGACGAACACGCATTCAAGTAACATCTATGCCGTTCAGGTACTGACATATAACACTAGCATTGATTGCTCGGCTTAATATATGATCCATAACTTTTAAGAGCAGTACCACATCCATATTTATTTGGATTCCTTAATTAATCCAACACTTCTACTAAGTTTAGGTCATAAGGGTATTTTGGTCATTCTGGTGCTCAGTTTCATTCCATTTTTTTCAGAGCTCAA